TAGATTCCAACTAATCTATTTTTGTTTTTTCTAAAGTAGTTTGCAATCTATTGCAGAGCAATGGCTCTTCGAGCCTACATACCATTTCAATATCAGATTTGTAGTTTTTTATTAAGCTCGATTAATTCAGTATTGGATTCGAGTATCTTATATAGCGATTTTTCTAACTTCTCATAGCTCATGCATTTTTTTTAAAAGTCGAATTATCAGAATTTATATTAAAATCTGTGGAAGCGTGCCATTTCTCCTGTGAAATTTGATCGGATACCAGAGACATATTATCTTGAGATACAGTTGTGCAGTTCATTTCGAGATTATTCTCAACTTTGTGCATATTTATTGGGATAAAGAACTCCTTACCATTGCATACAAGTTTCAATTCTCGTCTCGATGCAAGTAAATTGTAGTTATATTTATCAAGTAACATATTAGGTAAAATCAACATCGGCTTGTGGTATTTAAACACTGCAAAATCAGAATATATAGTACAACCGGAAGTAAAGTCCACTGGTACATTTCGGGTGGTTCTAAGAGATTTAGTAGGAATAGTAGCAATACCTCTGGGGTCATATTTATCTTTTGTATTAATTACCAACTTTAATCATTTGGCTATATCTTCAGACATAATTGCAAAATTAGCACCAGGATCTACAGTAGCTGCTGGAATTACTAGTCGCTTGATCTTGCATTTTGTAGTTATAACATCTGTAGCCGGATCTTTTCTCTAAACAAAATCTATTTTCATGGGGTCATCAATGAACTCATCATCTGAATCAGATATTTCTGAAGCTGGTTTTCTATAATTTTTAGCAGAGCTAGTTTCACTAAAATTGGATTTTTGAATAGATAGAGCTGAAGTAAATAAACTTTCAACATAAGCTAGCATATTAGTGCCAATTTTAGCTTTGAGTTTTTCTATCCAATCTACAGGTGCAATGCTATCAAGTATATCTAGTACAACTCTCTAAAGAGATTTATCAATAATGGTGGATTTATTTCGTGATTTACCAGAATTGGGAGTCTCTTTCTGGTCTCTTTTACAAGGCTTGAATGGGTTTCCAGCTTGAAGCTTTGCTTTCTCTTTTTTGATTTTGGGTTGCTTTGATTTCTTTTTAGATGACGATTTTGTAGATTTGCTCTTATGTTTTACTTTTTTTTTACCTTACTATTATGAACCTTAATATCACTTTTAGATTCAGATTCGGCTGAAGATTCTTCAAAATTGGACCCTGATTCGGAGCCAGAATCAGAGTTATTATCAGAAGAGTTAGTATCTAAATCTGACTCAAAGCTCGAATCTACAGTAACTTTATGGACATTACCTTTTTTATTTTTGGATCTACTCTTCTTTTTCCATAGACACTTACGAGAATTATATCTAGTCCTATTACAGTTTGAGCAACGGTATTGTGCTTTCATAGCTTTTTTTAACAGCCTTAGCTACGTACAACTTCAACTGCTCCTTCGTAAGATTGGCCAATTCATCATCGGAATCAACTTCAACTTTCTTTATTACTGGTTTTGGAGTCAAATCGGGCTTGGAGATAGGAACAAATTCTGAAACCTTCCTAGTAATCCATTATACAAATCTATCCATTAATATATCTTGCATTTTTTGATATGTGCCAGGAGGTTGTGGTCCATAATAAGGTTGAGATGTCTGCAATAGTTGTGATAGCTGTATTTGCTGAGGAGCTGATTGTGAAAAAACAGATTAGGATTGTGTAGGTGTTATTAATTTAGATGATAATTTATAACTAGACTGGGGTATTTTACTAACTAATCTTAATTTTTTCTCTGCTCTTCGCATTTCAATTCGCTCTAAAATTTCAAAAAGATCAGCTAATAGTTGCTCAGTACCAATGCGTTCCACATCATCCTTCAAGTCTGAAGACAACCCTCTTAGAAATTTTTCCTTAATCTGTTGCTCATCAAGATTAAGCATTTTTCCATATTTTAAGAGTTTTGAGTAAAAGTCTTCTATAGATTCACCCTCCTGAGCTAATGATCTATAAACTAAATTGTGGGATAGATATGAAAAACAAGAAAAAAAATTAATTGGGAGAGAGAACAATGGGATCGGGATAGAAAGAAGTAGGGTAAAAAACTGGAGGGGCTAATACTGAGATCCAGAAATTACGTACTTATGATCTCAAACTCATTGATGAAGCTAGGCGTTTACAGATTAATAAAGATATTTCTCTTGTGAAGTCCAAAGCTGAGAATGATATAAAATCCAAGAAAATCAAATCACTCAAGTCTATGATCAAGATATTGGAAGATAAGTTATCTTCAGCCCAGAAAGATGTGATTTCGATTCAAAGCGACTCATCAAAAAAAGAAACTGAGATCGCGTCCCTCAAATTCAAAATAGCTGAATTAGAAAATATAAAGAGCGAATTGAAATCGAAGGTCAATGAGCTTGAGTGTCTGAAATCAGAAACTATATCGAAACCCATAGTTGGTGGGGATGATGAAAAAAATATTACTAAGTCTGATAATATATCTTTGGATAGTACTGATCTCAGTATATATTTTATATGTAGAAAAAATATGGATCAAACTGAAAAAACCGATGGTAATATATTGATATATACTAATGATGAGATTACCGAACTATCAAAAAATGATACCGAGGACTCCAAGATAAGTAATGAAACTAGCATTAGCGAAATTAGTGAGAATAATAAGTTCGCTTTAATTGAATCAAATTCTCAGATGAGGCCTGGTCCCGAGGCTTTGCCTCTTCCTGTTGTGGCAAGCACTTTGATGTCACCACTATCAGTATATATTTTTCTTATCTTGTTGATTATCGCAGTTATGTGGTTCGTAATATTGAGACGTACATGGGGATTTGAGAGAAAAGGTGATCGGTTACGTGATATGTGGATCGGATAACTGAGACTATCTATTTGAACTTGGATATTATTTATGTATGAAAAAATATTATTAATGTTGTATAAATATCTTAATAGATTGTAGCGATATTAGCTAAGAATACTTAACAATATAGGTCAATGATATCATCAATATCTAATGGGTTATTTTTTTTACTGCTATATGTGATTGATAATGCTTAAAGCCAGGTAATTTCAAGGCCAACTACCTTATACTATATATTCCGGAAATCTATTAATTCTCGATACTCTGATTCTAAATCATATAGAAATATATATTGTTTCAGAATTGTAATTTTGGGTTTGTATTTTTGCACTTGCGTAATTAAATCATACATCGCATTTCTATATCCTACATTAAGCTTAAACAATTTTGAAAGTAGATTTAATAATTTCGAACGAGTGGAGTCTGTAATTTTGTCTAATATATTAAGATAATTATTATGCTCTGCAGAGACGTCTGAAGATCTGGTTATGCCAGCTTCACTAATGCCAGAACATATTTTTTTAGCTTGAGTAGTAGCATTTTTTTATAAATAGAAGATAATGCCTTCATCTTTGCTATTTCATCTTCATCTAGACTCGGAAAGTTATTGCTCTGCAATAAATCCTTAGCAATTTTTAATTTCTTCTCCTTGGATTTCTTTTTGCGATCCATGACTTTTGAGAGGGATTTAGGCGATGGTTGATATTTATCATCATAATTTATAAAACGGGCACAGAGACCAAATAGACTTTCGATATAATAATCAATATTTATTTTCTTGTTGAACTTTTTACCACATCTGGGTATTCCATACAGTCTCCTTTTTGTTGTGGTATTTTTTTCCTGCAGTTATCATAAATCTCTTCAGGTACTATTATAATATAACTAAATCGTTTACCAGGTTTGGGGACTTTATATAGGTATTCATTAGCGGGTAAACCCTTCTTTATAAGCTGTTGATTTTCCAATACTTCACGAGAATACTTAGCCTCTATTTGCAAAACAAACTGTTCTACAGAAATATTTCTCCGCTTATCTTTCTTTTTAGGCCTCCATATACATGTCTGAATAAATTCATCATAATCTAACTTGAAAAGTTTTTCCACATTTTCCCAAAGAACTTTTTTAACAATCTGGTGTATTGTCTCCTCATTACCGACTTTCAAAGTTCTATTCATAATTT